TACAGACTGTAAAACTTGTAACAAGCTTATTTCAAAAAATAAAATAATATGCAAAAAAAAAACCAACATTTATGGGCAGCAAGAATGAAAAAAAAATGAGATTGTCAGCAAACTTCACCGAAGAGAAAGTAGAGTCAATAGACACAAGAAAAAGAAAAATATGGTTAAAATGTGACATAGAAGAACAAGAAGAATTACGCACACTGGAGAATAAATTCAAGTAGCTTGGTCTGATTGTTGTGTTGAGAAAAAACCAAATAGCTTTTTTTTAAGTTGCTTCTACTTCCTATGCAGCCCAGAAATTTCAAATGACTATTCAGCCAATTCGAGAACTGATGTGACGTGTGGATGTAGAAGTTTAGGAAAGCGACAACGATCATGTTCATAAAATGTATTTTGAAGCATATTAGAGATTGTATCGATTCGTTTTTGGACTTTTTCTAAGAAGAAAAAGACGAAGGTTTTCAGTGCTTCTTCTAAATTCGCTACGAGCTCTAAACCATGTATAGCATCCCTTTGAAATAGATGCCATGGAAAGATAAATCATTTGCTAGGTTTTCGAAGTACTTGTGAAGAATATAAAAACGTGTAAATTTCTTGGCCCTTTCTGATTTGTGACCATTTTATTTATTTCTTTTTTGAATTGTTTAATTATTTTTGTCAATCTATCGAATGATTTCGAGCGCTTAAAATTCATCATAAAGATCGATTGAATCAATATTTATCATTCTTTAGATTAAAACTTGATTTTTTGATGATGACTTTTGCACTTCTGCAACTTCTTTTATGTCTATTTTGAAACAGATTAAGTTGACTCGTATTTTTTCCACAATGTCTTTATAGACAGAATAATTATGGCTGTATTTTTTTTCTTGCTGAAGTCTCCATCGACAAGAAGAACAACAAAAATAAGGTTTGACAATGACATAGTGTTGTATTGACAAATGTTTATCAAACTTATGCATCTATCTGTGGTTAGAAGATACAATTAAATACAAAAAGAAACAATAATTCCAAACACTATAGTAAATCAAATCATCTTTAAAAAGATGCTATAAATCTAATGGATGCCCTTTCTCACATTTTAAACTTCCAATGAGTCTCCGTTGACAAGCTGTTTTTCCTAAATCTTCTTTCTCATACCACATAAACGTGTATGATCGCCGCCGCCATTCAGAAGATCTAATACTTACTCTTAATATTTTTTATTTTCATAAAATAACAATACGAAAAGCAATAGAGCATCGTTGCATTCATGACACAAGTTTGTGTCCAGATCTGTCTGAGTGCTGATTACAGAACATTACTCTTGCTACCTTGAACATATACCTAGCTCGTATGGGAAAAGTAATGCAAAACAAATTTATTCAGAGTTTTCAATAGAAATCTGAAATAATCTATAAATAAGGTAATTTGCTTCCATTCGCAAAATATGTTTTTGTGCTTTGCTCTGAATGTCCAAATACCTCATAGTTATTATTATTCGTATATATACGTTACTGTGCGAAAGACAATATCAAAAACCAACATATAGATAATGAAAAACAAAAGATCCACATATTCATCTAATTGAATTTAAGAATTAATTTTTACTCTTATATCGATACAGGCAAAATGATCTCAATCCTGTCAAGACCATCACTTTTCATTATGAGTGATATCTTTTATGGTCATTTAAGACTTGCATTAAATGTCATATTCTCATCACTCATATGTTCTAAAAACTTATTCGAAAACTATTAAACATGCAAAATAATAGATAGACTATTAATGAATCTCCAAGAAGAAAGATATCAAAGGTCATGTATAATGTGTTGGGCTCATTGACAGTACTCAAAAATGAGTATCATATTTTTCACTAATATAAATAATACAAAACGTCAAATTCGAACTACAAATGATTTGTTTTGCTTATTAATAATCACAAGATCATACATCTCATCGTGATCGAAAAAGAACTGAAGAAGTATATTTACAATCAGGGGCGTAAATAGGGTGGGACGCGACGCTCCCCCCTGCTTTTGAAAATTTGGTTTTTTTTGGTCAAAAAAATCGAAAAAACTGGGTATTTTAGTGCAGAATCCATACGAACGAAGACGTTACGCCCCCCTGCTTCGAGATTTTGAGATATTAAGGGCCTACGCCCTCTCTGCCTTAGAGACCGAGTGACGCCCCTGTTTACAATATAATAAAAAAGAGAAATTTTTTAGTATTGGAAACACTAAACTTATCCATTGATAATATATATATATATATATATGACTGAGTAACATTTTTTTACGAGACTTTATTAACACACAAATGCATTTTGAGCGAGGTTGTTTGATGATTCGCATCATATTTTGATTTGATATTAACAATCAACCAATCGAAATTTATACATACCTATCTGTTTATTTATTCTTTATTTTCATTGATTTTTTTGAAAATTATTCATTTTATTTTCATTTTTTTAAGATTATTTTCTGTTTAATATATAGAAAACAAAAAAATAGTTAATCAAAATGGTTCAACGATTAACTTATCGTCGTCGTTTATCATATAACACCAAATCGAATCGGGTTAAAGTGTATGTTATAATTCTATTTTATTTTTTATCATCATAAAAAACAAAAATAATCTATTTTATTTTTAGTGTTAAAACACCCGGAGGTAAATTAACATTTCAATATGTTAAAAAACGAGGAGCAGTACCAAAATGTGGTGATTGTAAAGTTGAATTACCAGGAGTAAGTTTTATTTTATTATTGAATTCATTCAAATTAGTATTTTTTTATTTTAGATTAAGGCATCTCGTCCAAAACAACGTATGACAATGACTAAACGATTGAAGACAGTATCACGTACTTATGGAGGTTCACGATGTGCTAAATGTGTTCGACTTCGGTAATCAAAAAACAAAATTATGAACAAAAAATATATGTTTTTTTTTGTTTGATTGTTTAGTATCGTTCGAGCTTTTCTTATAGAAGAACAACGTATAGTTGCTATGGTTATGAAATCAAAGAAAATAACTGCACCAACAGAAACAACAGTACAACCACAAACAACTGGTCAAAAATCGAAATAAAAAAAAAGTTGTTTTTTTTTCTTTTCGATTGACTATTTATATTTGTTTTTTTTGTTTCTTTTTCGATTTGTCTCTCATACGTTACCAACTTGATATTTTGAGAGATTTAAGAAAGAATAAAAAGAAAAAAAAATAAACGAACATATGACATATTTTATAAAATAATAATTTCATATTTCTATGATATGATATGAAAAAAAAATAAAGGCTTAAGATGAATTTCACTAAAAAAAAATTTATATTAGTTGTTTAAAAGTAAGAGAACACAGAATTTTTTTGATTTTCATAAGTAAAATGTACCTCATTTGATTATATTTTGTACTGATTGAGCTCAAAAGATACTATAATTAGAAAACTATGAAAATCAAAAAAAAAGAAACAACCATTGAATTTCTCTAACATTTTTTTTGTTTCCTAGTATATATGGATTAAAAAAATGATCTCCGCACGCAACTGTCTGGATCCCGTTCTCTAGAGGAGATCAATGATGACAGTTCATTATATTTATATACATGTACGAAAATACTAGACGAGAAGATCTTTTTCTACATAGTTATATGAAAGAACTCAATAGCTTTTGTATTTTATACAAACACTTATGGAAAATCTGTTGTTTCTATATTAAAATATATTAATGAGAAAATTAAACTCTTTAACAAGATATATTTCACTTTCATGTCTTAGCAAGTAATGTGGTTAATCACGTTATTCTTGATTAGTTGTCGAAAAGTAATATGCGGATCTATGTCAGATCGAACATTTGATCTACGTAACACGTACTTAATCATTGTTGAAAAAGAAGAACTGTGATGTAAATGTAAAATATTATTGAAATAGTTTGATTAAAATATACTAGTCTTCATACTATTACTTTATAGTAATAAAGGCAAGTACTGAGGTAAATTCTGAATAAACAACTGATTAATAACATTCTCTTTTCAAGAGAATTGGTAGTGATGGGTCGCCCAGCAGAGATGTCCATCGCGGCTGAAACTCTGCCGCTGCCGCGCCGCAGCATTAGAAAAAAAAGTTACCGCGCCGCGATGGTTTATAAAAAAAAAAAGTCACCGCGCCGCGATGAGTAATAAACTTGCCGCTGCCGCGATGGTTTTCAAAAAAGTGTTTCGATTCTCACTGCTGCAACTGTATTGGACCAGAAATATTGGTACTAGTCCATCAGATTCATTCAGTCTCGGGGTGTTTCATTTGTAAACAACGAAATTCTATTAAATTCATGCAGTTTTTCAATGTCCTCGAAAAAAAATGCTGCCGCTGCCGCGATGAGCTTTTAAAAACTCTGCCGCTACCGCGATGAGTTTTTAAGAAACCTGCCGCTGCCGCGCCGCCATGGACATCTCTGTCGCCCAGCAATTTCGAAATTTTAAAGTTTGCGAAAACTCACGTAAATGGAACGATAGTTACGAAACCTATGCGAAAATAGACCTCTACCGCGATCTATTAGCCTCTTCGGTTACTCTTTCGTTTCTTACGAACCTCTTACGGCCCATCACTACTTCTTGTACAGATATATGTCACAGTGTAATGAGCATGCTATTGGACGGTAGATCCAAACACAAATAACCATTAATGTCCTAGCCAGAGCCATTCCATGTTTGGTGCTACTGAGCTTTGAACAAAGTACTTTGTAGATACGTGTGGAATCACATGGTTGCCTAACCATGGTGACTTTGGGTGAGCGTTAAATGATAACTAATCTGTTCCTTCTGTCCCATAGACATTGTCGGTATACGATCACCAACTGTATATCAATAATGTATAAATAATTTCCTGATTGTAGTTTTGGAGAATAATAATAAAAAAGAATATGTCTCAAAATGCATGGAATATAACATTTTTCTATTTTATTTCGTATTAGTTTTTCGAAATCTGATAATTATACCAATACAAAATTTTCTTTTCTTTATAAGTAATGGCTAATTTATTACGTATATTTCCTATTGCTGCTATTATTATTTTGATTATTATTATACTTTTTGCATTTATTTATTCAATTCCAATAATATTTATTCGTCGTTTTCATCAACATAATAATATACTTACATTAAATATATGTTTAGTTACAATATTTTGTTGTTTTTCTTGGATTTGTATTCATGTATTGTTTATGATTAATAATCCATATACAACACTTCAACGAATGAATTTATTTTTTAATATAACAGCAATGATATTTACTATTCAAGTACCACTTAGTTTTTTAGCTGCATCAATTCATCGTTGTTGTTCTATAATTTATCATATGAAAATTTTTTTTAAAACAAAACATTGGGTTATATTATGTATTGGAAGTCAATGGTTATTCGGAATTATTATATCTATACCAGATTTAATACAAATTCGTTTAGTAAGATTTTTTTTTTTTTTTATGTATTTTTGGTATAAATTCATTTATATTTGAATGATATTCTAGTCTAGAGAAGATTTTCTATGGCCAAAAATTTATACTTTAGTAAATATGTTGATAATTCCATCGATTATTTATTTTCTTACAAATATACTTATCTATTATCATGTTCGATCTTCATCTCGTCGTATTCGACCACAAATGATTTTTCATAATGTTCAACAAATAAAAATAAGTCGTCGTGATGTTTATTTATTACGACATATAGTTTTAATGTTTTGTATATTTGTTGCAGGATGGGCACCAACATGTATATTACCAATTATGAATTATTTTATATATATTAATTATTTATCATATGCAATTTCAACAATTTGGTGTGAATTAGCTTTATTAATTAATATAATTGATTTATTTTTGTATAATTATAAAATAAGAAAATATTTACGAAATATTTGTTTACGATGTTTTACTAAAATCTAATAACAAAAATATTGAAATTATCTTTAAATAAATTTAAAAAAAATTCGATCAAAATCTAATGAAAAAGTTCAGAACAAGTCATATCACAATTGTTTTTTAATAAAAAAAAAAATTTCTTCATGTTTTTGTTTTTTATTTGTTTTGTTTCTTAAATATAATTTTTATCTCATACAAAGTATTCTTTTTTTTTTTTAAATTATAGGAAGTTTAATACTGTACGATTTGAGAATATTGATTCACGGGAATTATATTCCTTTTGTCAATTAGATGAAAGAAAACTATTCATTCGATTGAAATATTTTTGATATCTGAAGAACTTTTTCAAAATTATGAAATATAATCTTGTTCTTTAATTTCTTTTTTTTTGTTTTATTCTTCTATAAACTTTTGTTCGAAAATCAGCAAGACGAAAAAAAAAACAGGTTTTAAAATACACAAGAATAAATTAATAAAATGATGTTTAACGTTAATAATACATCACGATAACACAGTAAGACAAGTTCTAATCATTAATATATGATAACAATAAGCATATCATAAATGGTGTTAGTTCAAGTTAGTTTGACAAAAAACGAAAAAAAAAAACGAGACAAATGTTTAAGAACATTTAATTATGATGTTTAAAAGAAAAATACAAGTGGAATAATTGTCATCACTGGCATTTGATAATATTTATTAATGTAGTTGAGTAAATGAGAAACCTTTATCACCTGTAGGAATTACTGGAGGACCATCAGGTACAGCTGGTCCACGACTATCAGTACTTGTACCAGCTCGTTGTAACATTTCTTCTCTTGATGCTCTAAAAGAAAACAAAAAAATGAATGAATGAATGAATGAATTTGATAAACTTTAACAATATGCAATTACTTTTTGCCAATAGCTAACATGAATTGAATTGCACCATTAACAAGTAAACAAATGAAACCCAATACAATACTTACCGATTGACATAAAACAAGTGGTAGAAGTGGTGGTCTAAATCATATAAAAATAATTGAATTTACTTTAGTTTTTTTTTTAAAAATCTATCGAAATTAAACAAAATAATTTGAAATTCTTAAACGACAATTTTGTACTACATCTTTATGTCAAAGTTATTGTCTAGAACTTCTGATAAGTATTTGGAATCTACTATCAGTATATTAGTTTGAGTACATCTAATAATACAATTCAAATACTTCACTAATACTCAAATCTTCAAGTACATTTTATTGCCATACAGACATATATATAATGAACTCAAACTTATAAATTCGTCACAAATGTTGATAATCGATTTGAGATATCTAAAAAAATTCTAAAGAATAACTTTGACATAACCTTGAAGTATGAAATTTTAGCTTTCTCCTTCTTGATCTTATCTTATTCAGTAGCCTTATTGAGATTGGAAAAATTTTTCATACTGATAAGTAATTCTTCAGAACTGATTTTCAAATTCAAACTGTACTATCAATAAAATTCCCAATGAAATTAGTTCATTCGGTAAGTATCAAATTTTCTATTATCTTCTATTTAGTAAAATAATTCTTATATATATATCTCAGAATAAGTAATACTAGAAAATCTATTACTGTCATCATAAACTAGATTGATGAGAAGTTTGAAAGAGAGTAGAACATGTTTGAATAATTTCAGAGAGAAAAATCTCTTGTCTCAATAGAACTCAAATTTAAATTCAATCATTAGATATAATGAAAATATATATGTATCATATATTGTAAAAAAAATTTCTCTTTGTTTTTATCAACTAACATAGAATATAAAGCAGCTTTTTGCCAAGGTGGACGTTTTTCTGAAAATCTTGCAACTGGTTGTGTATATGAAACAAATTGACAACAAATTGGTACTTCAAACATAATCATTGAGAAGCCAAGAAAACTAAAAGAAAGAAAAAAAACATTTTTAAATTTAATTTTACGAAATAGAAACAACAAACATCATTATAACACCAGCTGCTATACATGAAGGTGTTATGCTAATTGCAGCAAATACACCACAAATCATTGCAACTAGAAAACAAAAAAAAACAACAAGAGTAAAGTTTCATTAAAAATTCATAATTGAAAAAAAAAAGAATTACGAATGCCAGTAACAATAGCAACAATTCGAATAAGCCATCGAAACCAAAATGTTGTTCCTTCAGGTTTTGGTTGTTGATTATCAATAGTAACAGCTGTTTGAAATACATTCATTGCTTGTCCAGCATAATTTGCAGTTTGTGCTGCTTGATTTGTATTAAAATTCATTTTGATTCAACAAAAAATAAAACTATACAAAACAAAAAAAAAAATAACAAAATTTTGAATATTTCTTTTTTTTTGTTTATTACTTATACAAATTGTATAATAAATGATACTGTTTTTATTTCACAATATGATATTCACGTGTCAATGTATGATAAGGTGTAAAAAACGTAAGAAGAATAAATGTATGTAATGAAGCATTTATTATTTGTTAGTCGTCAGTATAAAAAAAAAAGAGTGCGCCACAAGATTAAGGTGTTTTTTTTCATTGATTGTAATGCTTGTACTTTTTTTTATATTCGTCATATTTATTAGTCATTAAAACTGTTGAAATCATATGGATGTAGGAAGTTCTTTTTTTGTTTTT